GCTTCGTTCAGTTACGTATTGCTGCTTACGGTTCACTACTCGACGATGTTTTAGATACCTTTTGGTCACCGGAAAGGACCCGTAAAGTGATAATGATTATCATCTACATATCACAACGTGCGTGGAGGCCATCAAACCACGTCAAATAATCAATTATATGACGCAGGTATCGTATTAATTGATCTGCATCAACAACGTAAAAACAACTGAATGGCTACAAATCAACGACACTGAATACGGAACAGCTTCTCATGTCAACGAAAGAACAGAACCCGCAGAACAACAACCCGCAACATCCGCTTTCCTAACCAAATGATTGAACAAATTAACATCGCTCTTGAGCAAAAAGGGTCCGGGAATTTCTCAGCCTGGGTCATTGAAGCCTGCCGTCGGAGACTAACGTCAGAAAAGAGAGCATATACATCAATTAAAAGTGATGAAGAATGAACATCCCGCGTTCTTCCCTCCGAACAGGACGATATTGTAAATTCACTTAATTACGAGGGCATTGCAGTAATTGAGTTGCAGTTTTACCACTTTCCTGACAGTGACAGACTGCGTGTTGGCTCTGTCACAGACTAAATAGTTTGAATGATTAGCAGTTATGGTGATCAGTCAACCACCAGGGAATAATCCTTCATATTATTATCGTGCTTCACCAACGCTGCCTCAATTGCTCTGAATGCTTCCAGAGACACCTTATGTTCTATACATGCAATTACAACATCAGGGTAACTCATAGAAATGGTGCTATTAAGCATATTTTTTACACGAATCAGATCCACGGAGGGATCATCAGCAGATTGTTCTTTATTCATTTTGTCGCTCCATGCGCTTGCTCTTCATCTAGCGGTTAAAATATTACTTCAAATCTTTCTGTATGAAGATTTGAGCACGTTGGCCTTACATACATCTGTCGGTTGTATTTCCCTCCAGAATGCCAGCAGGACCGCACTTTGTTACGCAACCAATACTATTAAGTGAAAACATTCCTAATATTTGACATAAATCATCAACAAAACACAAGGAGGTCAGACCAGATTGAAACGATAAAAACGATAATGCAAACTACGCGCCCTCGTATCACATGGAAGGTTTTACCAATGGCTCAGGTTGCCATTTTTAAAGAAATATTCGATCAAGTGCGAAAAGATTTAGACTGTGAATTGTTTTATTCTGAACTAAAACGTCACAACGTCTCACATTATATTTACTATCTAGCCACAGATAATATTCACATCGTGTTAGAAAACGATAACACCGTGTTAATAAAAGGACTTAAAAAGGTTGTAAATGTTAAATTCTCAAGAAACACGCATCTTATAGAAACGTCCTATGATAGGTTGAAATCAAGAGAAATCACATTTCAGCAATACAGGGAAAATCTTGCTAAAGCAGGAGTTTTCCGATGGGTTACAAATATCCATGAACATAAAAGATATTACTATACCTTTGATAATTCATTACTATTTACTGAGAGCATTCAGAACACTACACAAATCTTTCCACGCTAAATCATAACGTCCGGTTTCTTCCGTGTCAGCACCGGGGCGTTGGCATAATGCAATACGTGTACGCGCTAAACCCTGTGTGCATCGTTTTAATTATTCCCGGACACTCCCGCAGAGAAGTTCCCCGTCAGGGCTGTGGACATAGTTAATCCGGGAATACAATGACGATTCATCGCACCTGACATACATTAATAAATATTAACAATATGAAATTTCAACTCATTGTTTAGGGTTTGTTTAATTTTCTACACATACGATTCTGCGAACTTCAAAAAGCATCGGGAATAACACCATGAAAAAAATGCTACTCGCTACTGCGCTGGCCCTGCTTATTACAGGATGTGCTCAACAGACGTTTACTGTTCAAAACAAACCGGCAGCAGTAGCACCAAAGGAAACCATCACCCATCATTTCTTCGTTTCTGGAATTGGGCAGAAGAAAACTGTCGATGCAGCCAAAATTTGTGGCGGCGCAGAAAATGTTGTTAAAACAGAAACCCAGCAAACATTCGTAAATGGATTGCTCGGTTTTATTACTTTAGGCATTTATACTCCGCTGGAAGCGCGTGTGTATTGCTCACAATAATTGCATGAGTTGCCCATCGATATGGGCAACTCTATCTGCACTGCTCATTAATATACTTCTGGGTTCCTTCCAGTTGTTTTTGCATAGTGATCAGCCTCTCTCTGAGGGTGAAATAATCCCGTTCAGCGGTGTCTGCCAGTCGGGGGAGGCTGCATTATCCACGCCGGAGGCGGTGGTGGCTTCACGCACTGACTGACAGACTGCTTTGATGTGCAACCGACGACGACCAGCGGCAACATCATCACGCAGAGCATCATTTTCAGCTTTAGCATCAGCTAACTCCTTCGTGTATTTTGCATCGAGCGCAGCAACATCACGCTGACGCATCTGCATGTCAGTAATTGCCGCGTTCGCCAGCTTCAGTTCTCTGGCATTTTTGTCGCGCTGGGCTTTGTAGGTAATGGCGTTATCACGGTAATGATTAACAGCCCATGACAGGCAGACGATGATGCAGATAACCAGAGCGGAGATAATCGCGGTGACTCTGCTCATACATCAATCTCTCTGACCGTTCCGCCCGCTTCTTTGAATTTTGCAATCAGGCTGTCAGCCTTATGCTCGAACTGACCATAACCAGCGCCCGGCAGTGAAGCCCAGATATTGCTGCAACGGTCGATTGCCTGACGGATATCACCACGATCAATCATAGGTAAAGCGCCACGCTCCTTAATCTGCTGCAATGCCACAGCGTCCTGACTTTTCGGAGAGAAGTCTTTCAGGCCAAGCTGCTTGCGGTAGGCATCCCACCAACGGGAAAGAAGCTGGTAGCGTCCGGCGCCTGTTGATTTGAGTTTTGGGTTTAGCGTGACAAGTTTGCGAGGGTGATCGGAGTAATCAGTAAATAGCTCTCCGCCTACAATGACGTCATAACCATGATTTCTGGTTTTCTGACGTCCGTTATCAGTTCCCTCCGACCACGCCAGCATATCGAGGAACGCCTTACGTTGATTATTGATTTCTACCATCTTCTACTCCGGCTTTTTTAGCAGCGAAGCGTTTGATAAGCGAACCAATCGAGTCAGTACCGATGTAGCCGATAAACACGCTCGTTATATAAGCGAGATTGCTACTTAGTCCGGCGAAGTCGAGAAGGTCACGAATGAACTAGGCGATAATGGCGCACATCGTTGCGTCGATTACTGTTTTTGTAAACGCACCGCCATTATATCTGCCGCGAAGGTACGCCATTGCAAACGCAAGGATTGCCCCGATGCCTTGTTCCTTTGCCGCGAGAATGGCGGCCAACAGGTCATGTTTTTCTGGCATCTTCATGTCTTACCCCCAATAAGGGGATTTGCTCTATTTAATTAGGAATAAGGTCGATTACTGATAGAACAAATCCAGGCTACTGTGTTTAGTAATCAGATTTGTTCGTGACCGATATGCACGGGCAAAACGGCAGGAGGTTGTTAGCGCAAAAAAAAAATTCCAAAAAAAAAATTCCAAAAAAAAAAAGCGACTAACAAACACAATCTGATGGCTAACTTTGAAATGAATAGGATTTCAATCTATTGCTATGGATCACATATGCGATATGGGAAGGGAAAGAAAATGAATTAATCTTCCCTTAAAGATTTAAGGTTATAAAGTGTATGTCAAAGGGTTTGACAAGGACAAAATGAAGCCTAAAATCAATGAAGTGTTAGATTGTGAGATACCCTAAAGTAAGTTTAAGATGTAAATATCCAACCACTAGAACAAAGTGTTGTTCCTTACTCAAGACACTATGTTCCTTAGGAAGGAATTTATGGATGCTAGAAACAGTGGGAGGAAATTTGAAATCAATAAGCATTGAGTAGACTCATAAATTAACACTTTAATAAAAGGAATCCTAAAGTAGAATAATTACAAAGATTTATAACGCTCTCACAAATAAAACACAAGAACTTCGTGAGTGTAAAAGAAATTCGTCACAAGATAAAAGGATATGATCTTCACATCTTGACACATGGTCATGTGAGCCTTGAAAGGGATGACGGAGCTAATACTTATGAAATGCCAATGTAAGACATTGATTCCTATAAAAAGGAAAATAAAAGGGATGTATAGTTGACACACCCTAATTGTTCCCAAGGACATGCAAATAAGATTTGCAAAATGCGAAGGTCCATTCATAGACTTAAGCATGCCTCTAGGAATGTAAGTCGATGTTTTATGAAATGATCAAAGTGTTTGATTACTCATCAAAAAAAAGACAAACCTTATGTATATAAGAAGTTAGTGGGAGTCTACTAGTCATGGTTATTAGATACAAAATCACACCTCGACCATAACATCATATTGTAAATAAGAGATTAAGAATCTATAAGAAAATTCCCAAAGATGACCTATGAGAGAAACCTACATTCTAAGAGTATAGATCTATAGAGATAGATAACTTAGAATGTTAGGAGTCTCCCAAGGTAGTTACAATGCCATGATACTAAAATGTTTAGTATAGAACAAGCAAAGAAGGATTTTTGTTCTAATTTCATATAGCTTGATGACCTACAACAAAGGATTCATAGCATAAGCTAAGGAACCAAGGTCTCATCAATGGTCCAAGCAAGTACTATAATGTTATCACTTGTTTATAGAGATAAAAGGGTCATGGCAACATAAGAATAGAAAAGAACCACATCACGATAATACTACTAACCCAAACTAAGCCTTTATCAAAACTAAAACATTGATCCCTCACTCGATCATCGAGATTAAGGAACATGGTCGGTTGGCTCTAGTGCAAGTGGGAGATTGTTAGTGTTCGTGCTTAAGATCCAATAATTTTTGGATGGGCTTATGTTAATATGTTATTGCATCATTTATTTTAATAAATAATAAAGAAGTCATTTTATTAATTCTTAAGTTTACATGTTGATAAATTCAGTAGAATTAGATAAAAGTCCTTATGATATGCATTTGCAATAGTGATTGATTGAAAGATGTGAGATAAACACTAATGCATATAAATGATATCATTAAATGTCTCAAGTCATAAGCATCATCAAGAATGGACATTGACAATATATGGACGAGACTTGTGAGTGCTATGCTAATGCTATATGATAGTAGTAGGAGATCTCACACCTATTGGCATGGTGATGCCAAAGTAAGCACTTGGTAATTTATGTTAGAGAACATATCACTAGATTTGACTTGCCTTAAGAACCCATTTGGTTTTACTCTATGGGAATCTCACATTGGTGGGAGGATAAACATCAACCTTATTGGATAACGATGAATGTATTAAAGATAATAATCAAGTAGTCTATATATAAAATAACTCCTCATCCTTGGAGTATAAGGAAGCAACAACCTAGAGTCCTTTATGGACTCATAGCTGCCCTCTCTTTGTCCTTAGAGGACAAGGAAACTCTCCCCTATAAATTAGAGGAGATATGCAGCAAAAATGGAGGATGACCTAAAAAAGGGTATTTTTGGTGAAGTAAAATTATAAGAAAAAATTCAGCCATTAAAAGAGAAAAAAAGGGAGAAAATAGTTTTCGCCTAAAACCCTAGCAAGAAATACTCTTAGCTTCTCCTTTAAGGTTATCGCAACATTGCCCGGGATTGATTTGTACGGAAAATACTCAATCAAAAAAGGTTAAGCTAGCACCCCATCAATTTTGAGTGCTTCTTTGTGGATATTTGGGCTATGTGGATCATCAATAGAGGCCAAACACTTGGATGGCTAATCAAAGTAAAAGAATTTAGATCTACGCTACAAGAGATAATCCTTTAC